TTTCCCCTGTGACTCTTAATGACTCACAGGATGACAGAGTGGGTCAGACGTTTCCAAGGCAAGATTGCCAATAGGGGTTAATACCAGGCACTCTGCATGAACTTCTAGAGTTTTTGGTAGTAGTGTCCAGTCGAGAAGAAAAAGACTGGCATGGTATTCCAAACCACTGACCTTAACAGCTATGGGAAGTGCTACCGTAGTAAAAAAAACAAACAAACCAAAAAAACAAAAAGGAGAAACTCTAATGGTTTCTTCTGCAACCATTAGAGTTTCTTCCCAGTGAACGAATCTCAGTACTTACAGTTGTGTTCAGCAGTTTACATCACGGGCATGAATGTCATGGTAATTTGGGGTTTTTAATGACTTCTTTGAACTGTTCTTTTTCCAGCGTGGAAAGAGTATACATCTTTCTGACTTTAGAAAAACAAGAATTGGTGTGCAAAAGTATTTGGGTGTATTTTATCTTTTTTATCATCTTCTTATGAGATTTGTTTTCTTTCTAAGGACAATAGGTCATAGGAGATTGATTTAAAATACATACCGGCTCAAATAAATACACACACTCACTTAAATCTTTTAATAAGTGGTGCTGAAGGAGCTACAATGTCTTTTAACTTGTCAAGGCCAAGGCCTATAACCTTCTCATTAGTGATCATGATTGCTACAACAGGTAACTTCTCTTTACTACCATAAAAATAATTTGTTTGACACTCATAGGATTGACCAATACTCGGGACGATGGAAAGGTCCAAGGCCACCAAAAAGCCCAAAATACCAAAGATTTGGCCAAAGGTGCAATACTGAGGTGCAACTTGCTAAGAGACATTTAATCAATTAGTAGTTGGGATGTGAATGTATTTGGGCCTGCATGCATACATTTGAACCTGTGTAGAGAAAATCCAAAATAAATTCAAACTTGTTCACCAATTCTTGTTTATTTTATTGATTGATTGATTTAAATCATCAAAGATGTATGCTGCACAGTCATTCCACCCTGAGAAAAGAACAGCTTGTGTTTAAACTTCTGAGCACAACTGAAATTGTTCATGAAAGCAGAGATTGAGATATGCTGACCCATCCTGAATGTGTGGTGAGACCGTTCAAACATCCACCAAGAGAGAAAATACACATAAGATATAGGTTTAAAAACTGCTCATGAGATATGACATTTAACTTAAATGTCATGTCTAAAGTTTGGCATTTCATACAGCAGACCATATTGCCTGTGGTATTGTTTTCCACTGAACCCTGCTGCTTTGAGTGAGTCCATGTTACCAGTTTTAGAAAATGTGGATGAGGCCTCAGTGCTCTTTTGTGGGAAACTTTCATCATTTATCATTTCACTTTCACCACAGCCTATTTGTCTGGTTGTGTTTAGCATTAAGAGCAAAGTAATTTTGTCCAATCACGCTGTGCAGTCTGCATTTAGTCATGAGAAAATTATGCACACGTGGATCTGTTTCCACACTCACGTAGTGCACAGCGAGACCTTCAGAGAATAAAAATGAAAAGATAGCATGACTGAACAAAGCGAGAAGACACAAGAAATAACACAACTGTGAGAAGTGTGAAGTCATACTTACTAAATATTTTTATGTATAAAAGGTTGTCATAAATGTTTATATCAACCTATCATACGAGCCTTGAACTTGACCTCCGGGTACAAAGAACCACTTTATGGCACTTTAATTGTAATCTGCTATTTATATCTGATAGCGGTTAACATTTGACCACCACAAGCAGCTGTTTTTTGGACACATGTACAAATGTCTGTTGTGATTTAACCACAATTCTCATGTTAGCTGTTGTTTATAACTGTTTGTAAAACCTTACTAGACCAACTGGCATGCATCAGCAGCATGCTAGTGTTTTATGGGAACAATTAAAATCCATAAACAAAATATTAGTGGTCTTTTTCTGGACTGGAAAATAAAAAGTGGGTTGGGTCTACTAGCCATTTCATTTGGGGCTAGCTCATGAGCACCATATGCTACACCCTGAACTGCAGCCAGTTTCTTTAGACTGCTGTGGAGTTATTAGTACAAAACAAATTTCACAGCAGTTGGTGATGTAATCACAACCTTTCATTTTTTGATTTGTGTTGCTGAACAAAACTATTCTTATCTACAAAACAATCCAAATTTGGAGGTCAGGGAGGAGGAGGGTCTGGATGACGACTAGGTCATCTCAACTTTGATGCTATGTTCCGGCTTTTCACGAAGTTTCATGAAGTTCAGCTTTAGTTTGGGAGTTGACCGACAGTTTGTCAATTTTTTTTAGAATAATCAGCAGAGAAACATATTGTCACTAAATATGATCCTATTAGTTAATAGTTTTTCAGTATAAAGTTCTTCTCTTCTACATTTTTTGTCATATTTTACTTTTTCCTTGCTAATTGTATCTGACACCTGTGGAGAATATTATTTCATCCAAAGTACTTTAAATGTTTATTGAATACAATGCATAGTCAAAGTCTAAAGGAGTGGGGTCTTTAGATCTTTTTGGCTTAGGACCTTCTTCTCATGTTTCGGATCTCCTTTAGTTTTTAACAAAGAGACGTTTCCCTACAAACTTCCCATGCGGTTTCATTTAACCACACGCCACAAGAATTTGAGCCACAAAGATGTAAAGTTATCCCATCTGGACGTAATTTTTACAAACTAAAAGATTACAGAAGTTGGCACAATCCTCCAACAAGAGTGGGGAACCTAACCCCAATGTGGTGAACCAGAACAACCATTGGCATCGTGGCAAACAGAGGTGGTTTGAAGTCACCTCAGATCATAGAAGTAAATCAACGAGTTGCTAAAGACGACGGTACAGTTTGGACGTATTGGTTACTTGATTTGCACAGGTCCTATACGCTTGGGCTCTCTGAAAAGTCGCACAGCATGCATATATTAGAAACACATGCTTGTCTGACAGGGTGAACGGGTTGTGGAGCACAGACTTAAGATCTGGAATGTGATTGTATGCTTCTTATTAACCTGCGGCCGCTTCATCCCTCCATTAAACACTCCCCCCATTACCCCTCCGCGCTTCCTCTCAATATTCACCTGATATTGTTTTTCCTGTTTTCTTAGCATCTCTTAAAATCTCTTGATTCTACCATTCTTCTTCTACTCTTCATCTCCATCCTTATTTATTAGCTCTGTGATTTAGCTCCTTGCCCTCCTACTTGCTGCTCGGTGAGAATCTAGTAGAAGGTAAACCGTGTTGAGGTTAAAATTGAATGTTCTCCACATTTCCAAAGAGAAACTGGGATCAGCCCTAACACTTACAATGCCTTCAAAAGACTTTAAGCTAATTCTTAGCTTATTCGATCTGTGGCTGTGTCTCAACCACTGAAATGTTTACCACAGCAAAGAAGTACTTCTTAACACTTTGGGCCTTCAAGTAAACTAAGGAGTATGAGAATATATAGTGTGTGTACAGTGATACGTTACAATGTATACCATCTATGACTTTGTGTTTAAACTGTGCAGTTCAATCTTACCACCTTACAGAGATAGTAGCATTTTAATATTTTGGGCTTCAAACTGTTGCCACAATGGACAAAAAAGCCTTACTTACATTAAATAATACAATAATAACCCTAACCCTTAAGTTTAGGGGAAAAAATCACAAAAATGTGAAAACTGCGAAACTTGCTTTGGGATGGATTTAGAAGTTTCCCTCCAAGTTACTTGAAAATGTAAAATTCCCACCTTGAAATAGTTCGAAATTGCTAGGGCATTGATAGTGTGGTGAGTTTTTGAATATTGTTTCAGAAGATAAATATTTAAATGAGGAATGGTGAAAACTCATTTTTAAAAGCAGATTTAATTTCCCTGTTGTCCATTCAAGATCAGGTCCTGTTTGTACACTGTTGTATAATCTTAATATTTTCCAGCTTTAGCCAGTGCTCGCTATGAAGATGTTTGGCAGCCTGCTAGAGAATTAAGGGGGTATCTAGGCTCTAAGCAAAGATAGATTTAAAGAAATCGGAATACCTTTTGATTAATAACATTTTATCAATATGAGATACAGTAAAGCAGGCTAATCTGGAGTTGCAGTTGGTAATGGTTACTTCTTATAGTACTTCCATTTATTGATGCACCAATATTATTATCATGTTGCCTTCAAGCAGAAAAAAGCTGAAAATGTTTGTAGATTAAACCTCACTAAGTAAAACAGTAGAAATCCTTGATACAGTGTTTTTAATTTCCTGTTTTGTTTTTTCTTTTTTGTATGAGTTAGAAAGGGTTATTCTTCGAAATTACTAAAGTTGAGTTATTTTTTTTAATCAAGCAGTTTTATACCAAGATTGGCCCCAATAAACCTTATAAACAGGCTCATCTAGAGCCACAGAAGACTTAGTATAAAATATGCAATGTAATTTAGGTTTGTTGTTATGACAAATGCAGGCTTCCTGTGTTAAACTTGTGGATTTTCCCCTTTTTTAAAAGGTCAGGTTGTGTCTGCAGAGATTTAATGAGCTTTCACTGTGCAAAGATCTCAAGGTCAACAGACAAAAAGGGCATCACAATAGGTTTTTGTAATAAAAGGCTAAGAATAAAAAATAAATACAGGCTTAAGACTAGTGAAAACAAATGAACGCGCTGACTTTTTTGACAAGAAACATGGTCTCTTTCTTTATCTTGTTACACAGTGATAAAAGCAAAGCACATAAATGTGTGCTTACACACAGCTGAATTCTCTGTTTTTGCTTTTGAAGATTTTTTTTTGCCTTTAAGTAGTTGATGGTTGGTTGGAAATGGTCAGAGATTGCATGTCAGTGGAGATTTTTGTTTTGTTTTTTTAGTTTGAAGACCATCTGGTACCCGTTGATTAATGGCTTGTGTTTCTATAGGTATTTTTGTGTCCTCTGTATCCTTTAACCATCTCTTTTCTCTGCAGGGGGATCACACGTGGGCCACCATGTTGGGACAGAGCGTGCGGTTACAGCCAGTTCCCATCCAGAGCCTATCGGAGCTGGAGCGAGCCAGGTTACAGGAAGTCGCTTTGTACCACCTGGAGGAGAGGGACCTGGACTTCAAGATCAGCATCCCTAAAGGTAAGGGGGAAGGACAGAGATGGTGTTTCTAAAGGATCTGATGGTGGTTGAGTGTAAACTGATTTCTTAACTCGATTCCTCAATATTTTCCAAAGTACTTCCATTTTTTATTAGCACTCATATACTACCTTTATTGATTTGGAGGCTCAAATATTCAAGATTTTAAAAAAAAAATTGTTAGTTTAAGGCATACATATTTGATCTTTACCCGAAAGAATTTGGACTGATGGAATCTGGGACTAAACAAAAATGGGTGTCATGGGAGTTGAACATTTGTCTGCCATATCATCCTGAGAACTGGCCTATTCATTTATGCCCTCTGTAATGGGAATTTGTTTTTAGTCTGTATCTTCTGACTTGTTTGAACTACCCTACTAACTCCTGAGGCACTAAACAGAGGACATCCTGGGCTTTATATTAATATGTCATGTGTTTGGGTGGCTTCTTTTAGCTCCAAAGAGGCAGGAAATCATAAATAAAGTTAAATAGGAATATTCTTTTGTCCTTGGTTCTCAGGAGGATATAAAAGTCTTGAGGATTATCCTTCTTAGTCACATCTACCTCCTTATTACCTTGGTTTCATAGTATTAGGTTTTACTGGTTTTGAGGCATCAAAAGGATTTGGTTTGATTTGATTTTTTTAATAAAAAAAGCAGCATTATTTGAGTTAAAAGACACCCTTCGTTACATTGACCATCATGGAAGGATAACCTGTAATTTCTGGGTTTCCAGGCTGCCAAGTCCTACATCGGCTTACATTTTATTGGTTTACTGAGAAATGGGCAACTTTAGAAAAGCTAAACTATAAATAGTAAATAAGTTACTTAAGTAATTGTGAAACATAACAAATAACCCCAATCTGAGAGAAAATCAGTTTCCTCTGACACATAATTGAGAATGCTGTTAAGTCACATGCGAAAGTAATTGTTTGGAAATGGGCCTAAACTTTGTGTAACTTGCATAGACATGTGATAGCCAGAGTTCAAGTGTTGCCAGAGTATGTTTTGTGTTTCTGTTGATTTCTGAAATAGCATTTAAGTTGCAAATCAGTTTTTAAATTTGGCACAATCCCCTGTAGGGAAGGCAAGGAGGTAAAGGTTTAAAAACATGAAAAAATGCTATGTCTGACCATTAAATTCATAGGGACAGGGCATGATAGTTACTCCATTACAATAGCTTCCCAGAATAGTGAAATTGATGAAGGACAACTTTGTTTTTGTCACCATTTCTGCCAATTTAATGCAGTTAAATTTCATTAGTCAGTCTTAGTGGTGAGGCGGATTGGTCTCCATGAGGTTTGAGAATAAAAGTTCACGATGACCTGGTGAGTATGGCGCCAGTTTGGTTAGCCACACTCAGCCAAACTTAGACTGAACTGCCCTAAAGCAAAAACAACAACTCAGTCTGCCAGGGGAGCCATAACAGCTTGTCTGTGAATCTGAGGAATGAGCATAAAGCAGGAAGACATTAAGGATCATCTGGAACGGAATCCAGGGTGTCAGATTGATAAGGAAGGGGAAAGGGAGGAACGTGATTTCTGTTAATTGACTCTTTATCTCAAATAGCATTGGATAGGGTCATGATTTGTCTTTTTTCCCACCGCTAGGGGTGATGATATGAGATAGCTGGGTAATATTCACTTCTTAAACCACCGACCAGTACTGCTGTTTCCAAGTCATAGTCTAGCTGGTGTTGTTTTGTTTTTGATTTTAAACTTGTGCAGCTGTCCTGGTGTGAGTCATTATGGCAAAATGTGCTATGGGAGACACCTGTTGCAGCAGGAACTCCCACAATTGTGGACGAATTGTTGAATGTTAATACACTTGATTTATGCAGTAGTGTTGCATAAACACTGCTTTTACAGGGGTGTGGGTTTTCCAGATATGGCTATTTAGTTTTCGTGTAACAATGTAAAAATGGTGACTGATGAAGCATAGGTTCAAATGTCAGCACATTAACAGGGGTTGTAACCTGTGCGTTGTTGCCATTTAAAGAGATGGTCATTGTCGTTCCACCAAGTATGTGGCTAGAGACTTGGCACACATGTAGTACACCTTATGGGTTACTTGTAATTTAATGAATTAGTTCTTCCAAACTATGCATGACTATTTGATATTTGTGTATATATATATTTCCATTTTCACTTTCTCACAATTTCGTTCCCTGCCCTCATTTATACCTCATCCTCTTCCTTGACTCAAACTTCCTCTCCTGAACTGACACGTAAAAACACGCATAAATATTTTTATTTGTTCCTAATATTGTGGCAGTTACTTTTTTTCAGCAGATGTGACGGCTGAAAAGAAGCCAGCTAACCAACAATAAAAGCTGGTTATAAGCTAACATTAGCTAATGCTAGCTAACATTACCTAAAATTATGCCAGCTAACGTTAGGCTCGAGTAGCTTAAAAATCACACTTTACCTCTTATAAAAAGTTACATTCTCACATTGCATCAGTTTATTGAGTGAGTATCCGGATACAATAAGGTTTGATCTATTTCAAAGAAAGTTTCACCAGTGCTGGCTAAAAGCAGCTAACAGTAACAAAAACAACAGCTAACAGCAGCTCTTAGCACATGGGTGTGAAACTCTGGCCCGTGGGCCAAATTTGGCCTGCAGCCTAATTACATTTGGCCCGCAAAGCCACACCAAATTATTATTAGAGCTGGCCTACTGGTATTATACAGCTAATATATATATTGTTTAGTATAAGCTTTGCTTGTTCCATATTCACTTTTTCAGCAAAACGTGTTTGAGTCCATAAGAAAAGATTCATTCTTATATCTGGAGGAATAAATATATTTCAATAAATATTAACATTAGCCCGCGACTTTGTTCCAGTTTTGAATTTTGGCACACTGTGTACTTGAGTTTGACACCCCTGTCTTAGCAAGAGAAAAGTTAGCAACTCACATCAGTATCGCTGTCATCAGACAGAACAAAAAAGACATGGACACAAATTGTTGACTAATGGAAACATTAGACTGACAGACTATACTTACTTACAGAGGAAGGTACCCACTGTGTCAAGGGTTATGGATTTGAATTGGGAGGAGTAAGAAAACCAAATTACAGTGCAATCTGCTGTACACTGACATATACTGTTGATATTTTACAAACTGTATCTGAACTGATTTGTAAAGGTGGTGGTGAAGGAGACAAAGTGATATAGCAGTGTTTCATGTAGTTTAAATTAATTCTTGCCACACTGAGTTGCCCAAATTCAGGCTTTGGTGGTGCTTGGTTTTCTTAGTCTTACATCAGACCTACATGTAAATCTTGTGTACCCTTTTGAACTCTGAAGGACTCAATCATCTAATAAAGTGGGCTAGATTCACTAATAAACTGCAAATTCCTCCCACACCTCACAGACTGCAGACCAGGAGGTTTCCTCTTGTGTTTATTGAGACTGGTAGGGTCAGTGAGGTCAGGAGGATCACTGGGGCTGATGCTGAGGAAATATGGAAATATTAAACTGGTGTCTTTGTATGATCAGGATCTGTTGGTGGCTTTTCGCCTGTGAGACCAGCTGGTATGTAAGCCTCTTTTCTCAGACTCAGAAGCTCTCTCCCATACTACTGTTCGCTTGCAGGGTTATTAACCCTTCAACCTCCTCAACTTTGACTACGTCACTGATTGAGGCTGGGTATACTTAAGTTTTCAAATAAACAGTGGAGCTCAATTATATCAAGGGCTTTACAATTCCCCTTGAGCATAAAATTTACAATTGGGATACGACCACTTTACTTCTGCAACTTTTCACAATGCATGCATGCACCAAAATGGGCCTACAGGCCCTTGTGGAGATTTTTTGTAAACAAAATTCCTGTGTTTATGAAAAAAAAAGAAGTGTAATTTAATTCACCTTAATTTCATGCCTAAAATTATCTAAAGCACGAGTGGGGAATTCATTTTTCCAATGGCCCACATAAGAAGCTTGGACTGTTGTAGAGAGCCGCACTTATCTGACTCCACAACAGTCCCAGTTTCTTACGACATAATAGGACTATTTAACTATTTACAATCCACACATGAATACATGGGGGAAAAAATTCTCCCATTTTCTGCGTCGTTTAAAGTCCCATGAGGTTTTTATAGGTTCCACTACATGAGACCTTCTGAATTAGCTGCTTTAACTTGATCATATTTAAATAAAACAATACCTGCATTGCCCTTTTTACCTGCAGGTTTTATACTGGCCTCATGTTCTAGCTGTGATTCAATCTTCACATAAACGATGGATGTGGCTGCCTGAAAATCGCCATAAACGTAAATTCTGTGGTTGCCAAAACAAACCCAGCTGCACAGAAATATAGACAAAATCATCTCTCTGCCTCCTCGCCCTTCATCTCAGTAAACTTTCTCAATGAGTTTACTGTCTCAGTTGTTATTTAGTCTTATTTAATAAAATATTTGTTCATTTAGTAAATTGTGGTCACTATTAGAATGAAATAGAGGAAAAACAGGATACGCAAACAGGTGCATCTAACGATGACCAAATGGCTAACTCTTGGTTGGTCAGATTCAAAAATGCCCAGCATGAGATTTTCTGTCAGGATCTCTTTATTCATCAGGAGACATCAAGTGGCAATCTTTTAAAGTCTATTGACTGCATTGGAGAACTGGTAACACCAGCTGCACTATCTTTTAATATTCACTTAACAAATAAATATGCTCAAATATATGATGTATGATTTCTTTTCTCTAAATGGATCGGATTGAATGTTTAAAGTTTGCAAGGTGTCAGTTCTCTTTTCTCATTAAATTTGCCTGTCCGTGCTGCAGCTCAACAGATTCAAAGTGTGCCTTCTAAGCTGTATTTTTTTTGTTTTCCTCACTCATTGTTTGTAGCGGTGACAACATAAGAAGAGAGGAACCCAGCACTGGACAGAAACGTTCAAGACGTCTGTGGATGTTTACACTTTCTGCATTTGACTGATCTACAAAGTTCAGGACCTTTTGTTGGAGGTCTTTAGATGTTTAAATCAGCTTTAAAAGT